GATTTTTAAATGTATATCGCCAATTTGTTTTATTTTGAAAAACCTGACAGGAAGCTCCACAGTTTATCGTCTCTACCTTGACTTCATCAAGCGGCGGCGGCCGGAGGGAGCGGCTCTGGTCGAGCGACGTTCACAGACAGTGGGAGAGAGAGAGCGACGCGCAGCAGAGCGAACGGGTGGATGACGGTGAGTTCTTCACTTCTTTTTCGTTTTTTCTTTTCTTTTTTTTTTTAAATCATTTAATCTATAGACGTAGTTTAATACTTAGGCCAGCTCAGTAAGGAGGGAGCAGACATGCCGGGCCGAACCGGGCTGGGTTGGCTTTGCGGAAGCGACCGGCTGACAAACGGACGAACGGGCGGACAAGCAGACAGACAGCGGCTCGGTTAACGGATGTTAGACAGCTGGGCGGCATCACGGCGGCTGGATGTCTGCCTCTGTGTCCGGTTCTGACCCGTAGAGGCGCTTATCTTTCACTTTGTACCGGGGCATCCATGTCAGCGGGGCCTGCTGGCAGGGCAGACCGGGCGGGGGGCGCTCTGAGGCGGCCACAGAGCTGCGGAATCCCCGCTGCTCTGCTGGAGGATAAAGAAAAGAAGTAGCTGGAGTCTGACTGCAGAGTTGGGAAGTTTTCAGCTCCTTGTTTTGGTTTTCTCCACCTGCCCGGCTCTGGCTCCTCCTGAAACCCATTATTATCAGACAAAGCCCGGCTTGACTCCCCTGCTGCTGAGCTCCAAACCTCTGGTTATTGACAGGCCCCACCTAGTTCTGCTTCTGCCAGGGTTCTGACCCTGTTCGGTCCATCTTTTCGCTTTGACAGCTTCACTTCAGCAGATGAACCCCCCCTCCACACTCCGCGCCTGCTGCCAAAAACAGAAGTAGACTATGAGTGCAGAAAACAGGGAGGAAGAAGCTCGAAGTGAAACAATCAGCTCTTAAAAAGGTCATAAATTTAAAGCTGAATGAGAAACACGAGTTTGAAGCGTTTCTGTGTCAAATATCAACAAACTGCAGATGCTGGTGTCTCAGAAACACTGCAGAAACATTTCACTGCAGGTCCTGTGCTGACATGTGTGGGTATGTGCAGGGAATGTGATTAAAAAAACTAATTTTTATTGCTTTATGTTGTGCTCAGAGAGCTGCAGCTTCATTTAATAAATACTGATACATTTTAACATCAAAATATGAAATATTTGATTGTTTTTTTGTCCAGAATCCAAAAAACTGATGAATTTGGTAAAAGTGAAACTGGAAACTCTGCAAGCAACATTAAAAATCCACATTAATGTCCTGGCCAGCCTGTTGATGTAGTTTTATTTTATGGTGGCGGAAACACTTTAATCTGTTAAAACATTTTATTGTTGTTTTTTCTCCATCYGCTTAACAGGTTTTATTAATGTTAGAAACCACAAACTCTCCATAAACTGTTTAATTTCCTTATTTTTGACCTTCAGCTGGTGTCTGTGAACTTTTGATCCTCTCTGTGTCAAACAGGAAGTAAATGAATCGTCTCCTTTAAGACCAGAGKTTTAAACAAATCATGTGAGAGTGAGTTAGGAAGGACTCTCAGCTACTACCAGTCCAGTTTAGCTCAGTATCTGTGGAGCTGCAGCCATGTTTGTGACGCTGTTCTTTTATTTAGTTGTTTACCATTAAAAACTCTGAGCAGCGTTCAGAGATGGATTATTTCAGACAGATGCTCACCTCTGACAACAAAAACAAGTACATTTTGTAATGGATGGATAACTCCTGTTTAAACTTTTATCTTTTTGTATTTATGTTGCAGGACTTCCATGTTTTATCACTTTATTATTCAAAATATAAATCAAAATTCACTCCACACTTGAATCAACTCTTTTTAAATGATGAATCTTAAATTATAAATGTATCTATATTTAAATCTAATCTCCTGTAACGTTTCTGAGTGAATAAGAGAAAAAGATTAGTCTAAATGTTTCTGTTATGAATTTAGTGTGAACGAAAGCTTTAAGCTTTGAATAAAACCTGTTTGATGTCGTCTCTTTTTAATTATTCCATCATTAGCATCAGATCAAAGTGGATTGTTTTCATTTTCTTCTGTCAGTTCTCATAAAAACTGACTCAATTTGCATTAAAACATATAAATATTTACTTCCTCCTTTAGTGTTTTAATGGAGTTTCTAAAGAAAACAAAAACTCTGAGAGTTTAACAGAAAACAATTCACTGGTTTAAATCTTGTTTTCCTGTTAATTTTCTGCATTTTCTTCTCTGACAGAAAGCTGTAGCTATGCAACCAGCCTGAGTTCACATTAATTTGAGTTAAAACACAGATTTATATTTAGTAACAACAGATGAATCAACAGGAGCTGATGACATGTTTTTACTTCATAATCAAAAATAACAAGAACTCTGCTTAAAAAGGCTCATTTTTAACTTGAGGTCCAAAACAAACTGAAGTACTGATTAGAAAAAAATAAATAAATCTGATTTTCAATTAGAAAACATTTGAATGAACAGAGTTTGTGTCTTTTACCAGAATCAGTGTTTTTAGGTTYGTTTCTCCTCCTCAGGCTCAGGTCTGTTGAACTCGTTCAGACTTGTTGCATCAAACTGTGAGACGAGTTTTTCTTAGCCTCAGGTGCTGAAATCTGTCTGAGGTGATGCGTTCACTGGCAGTGGGACAGATGAAACTCTTTCCCTTCAGAGCTGAGACCTGTAGAGATGACAGGAGACTAGTGAAGATTAATAAACGGGAAAGATTCAGAGAATGTTAAATATTAAAGACTTTAGATTAATAACTAACCTAACATCCATCCATTTATTTATTCATCCAACCATCCATCCATCCATCCATCCATCCAACCAACCATTTATTTATTCATCCAACCATCCATCCATCTATAATCCATTTATTCATCCATCCAACCATTTATTCATCCATCCATCCATTTATTCATCCATCCAACCATTTATTTATTCATCCATCCAACCATCCATCCATCCATCCATCCATCCATTTATTCATCCATCCAACCATTTATTCATCCATCCATCCATTTATTCATCCATCCAACCATTTAT